TCACCAATCTCCACCTGGACATTGAGCCATTGACCTCTACCCTCTGGATGCAACCATCTAACCAATTCCTCACCCACCGGACAGTCCACCCATCAAATCCATACCTCTCCAGTTGAGAGAGAAGGATGTTGTGGGGGACCATGTCAAAGGCCTTACAGAGGTCCAGATAGACGACATCTGTAGCCCTTCCCGTGTCCACTGCTGTAGTCACTCCATCATAGAAGGTCACGAGTTTGGTCAGGCAGGACTTGCCCTTGGTTGTCTTGAATCATGTCCCTGTCCTCCATGTGCCTTAGCATAGCTTCTAGGAGGATCTGTTCCATGATCTTCCCAGGCACAGAGGTACAGGACACTGGAGATCTAAAAAAAGACATTTGATAAATGCTTCCATGCTCATTGCCCATAATGATAAAAAACATTCAATCATCTCTGCAAACCTCTACCTGAGATGAACTGTTGTCCTCTGCTCCTGTGCCCTCAGCTCAGCCCCCTACACTGAGACCCTGCTGCAGAGCTCTCGCTCCGCTCGGGGGTGCCGGCTCCAAGCAGCCCTACCTGTTTCATCCAGACATGGAAGATCTTGTATATTTGGGTAAGAGTCTAGCTCATCTGTATTGTGCTAATTTTTCTTTCCAATGTATTTTTCTGAAAGGCAGGTTGTCGTTTAGCTGATCGCCACACCAGGAGGAGCCTCACTTCAGTGGTGGGAAGTTTTCTGCCTGGGTATTGAGCAGAATACTTTGAAATCACTGGAAGTTAAAGGCACCAACCAACTACAGTGTTATTTTCTAACTAAAATGCATGAAAGGAACTAAAATATCATATCTCTCTGCACTGCAGATCTATTTAATATTCCTCCCTTAGCTGCAAGCAGAACTTCTACTGACGTGAATTGGAGCTTTATATGCAAAATACAGTAAATAGCAGAGTCCTCAATGCAAGCAGAAGAGGGAAACAAAGAAATATCAAACACGAGAGGAAAAACTTGCATGGTAGGCACCCAAGATCAGGGGTCAACACCGAAAATTTTGGATGTGATCTTTCTATGCATTGTTTTCTTCCTGTGACTAGGGTTTGCAGTAATTTAAAATAATTTGAACGTCTGGTTCATCCAGATATAATAGAGCATCATATAAAGGCTTGTGAATACACACATAAGCTTACCCTAATAGAAGGTCCCAACAGATGAGAGTTTTGAATGCACGTCTGACACTCAAAAGAGCATCCCATGTGATTTTGCTTGCTCATGGTCTAGTCAAGTATGCACATATATGGGGAAAGATGTCAGGTCATGATAGTGTGCATCATGCACCCCAGCGCACAACCAGGATGACTGTTGTGTGTAAAAATAGCAGGAAAACATGAATCCGCTTGTGAGCAAATGAATCGGGAGCTGTGTGCGAGGGGGGCGGGGAAGCGGCCGTGCTGGCATGCCGTGTAGGGACTGCTTTGGGGACCCCTGAGCTGCACAGGAGGAGGGCCTTTGAGGCACCGATGGATTCCTGGAGGCAGCTCTGCAATCGCCAGCTGTCGAACACCTCTGACATGTCGAAGCAAACTCTTCTGCGCGAAATGCAGACGGGCTCTGTGTCAGTCTTAGCAAAAGATGATAAGAGGTGTTCTGGTAGGTGCATTAGTGGGGAGCACCAAAAACCCTCCCTTAAATGGCAATCCTGCCCTCCTCTCTCACCCTGAGCTGGAAGGAACAAGGCTGTTATTCCTGAGCCCTCGGCAGCGTGTGTGCTGGGTAGGGGGAGGAGGAATGATGTTTATTCTTGTAGCAGGTTGCCACAGGGTCATTTTCTCTCTCTGCACATCACCATCTTTCAGACTTCACCCTTGAAATCGAGCAGCCCTTCCCAGTGGGCCCCTGCCTGCCAACTGTGTGGTGAGCTACAGTGAGGGTGGGCATCTGCTGTCCCTATCGCCCCATCTCTCCCATGCGGTGGTTTCTGCTGGGCATGCGTGCAGCGGAAGGTGGGCTCCAGCTGGGCTCCCAGGCTGAACCATGGCAGGTCTGAAGGCTACACCATGGAGAACAACCCCCCCAAGGTTCAGATGCAGCCTGGGTATACTGGAGCTATTTCTGAGATGTCATGTCCTTCCCTGAGATGGAGGATTCATGGTAATGTAGCTACGGACATTTGCAACACGTTTCTCTCTGGTTGATTAAGTAGGCCATTTTACCTTCATCCCTTTTGGTGGAGTACCTACGCCGTGGCTGCTGTGGGATGACACTTGCAGAGCTGATCCTTTCTGACAAATGAGCAGTGCTGCAGTCATGGTGGCCTGTCTCTGAGAAGAGAAAATTGCCTGGAAGTCTTCCAGTATCTCTTAATCCTGCCCTCCATCCCAGCAGCCAGCACAGCCCTAATCTGATTAGGGAAGCAGGTTCTGCAACTATGGGGCAGTGAGGACATGCTTGGAGTGCTTGTGTGTTTGTCCAGTAAATCCCATGGTTGCTAATGAGTCCATCCTTCTTTATTTAGGAAAAAAAAGAGGCAGAGAAAGCCAACTTGGGTTTTTTTTGCTATTAGTTTCATAAGCTTGGTCCCATGCCCCCAGGGGTGAAGGAAGCACCTTTTTTCTGGGATGAGAAGGCAGGCAGGAATGTTCTTTAGTGGGACACACAGAGTCAGTATTTCCCTAACCAGACCAGTCTGGTTCAGCCTGGGCTAGATAAAGGTTTACTTTGAAATGGCTTGGAAAGTTATGGAAAAATCCCACTTTCTACAGGGAAAACTCCCATCGGCTTCAGACGGAGTTTTGCTTAAATGTATCCACCAGGATATGGTCCAAAGAAGATGAAAGCTGTATGCAAACAAATTGCATAGCAGCTGTGAGACCCAGAGTGGCGTTCTCCTACACGAAGACCCACTGTTGCTGACCTATGCAACAGATCATGCTAAAACGCCTGCTGCAATTATTGTGCTTCTGGTGGGAATGTAACAAAACTGGAAGAGCCAGATCAGAATCCGCCAGCACCAGGGAGCTGTGAGCCTCTCGGAGCATGCAGCACAGGAGAAGAAACTCGGGAGGGAGTGTACAGCCGACACGGAGGATAAGGGCAGGGGAAGCGGGGAGGTGCCGTGATTTCAGTGCCTACCCTGAGGGCAAACCTGGCCTCTGTGATGCTCGGTATGTCAGCTCCAAGCTGCATCAGCTCAGGATGGCTGTGTAGAGGTGTTTGTTGTGGTGAAGGACGAATGGGGTGTTCTAGCCCTTGGCATCACGCCACTGAAGTCAGTACCCTGCCAGTACGGGATGGGGCATGGCCGTAGGGCTGGCTCTGAAAGGTCATTGTGAAGGGCCACATCCCCCACCCCTTGCCATAGGACATCTGTGGAGTACATACAAGCCCCACACCATTGCCTTGGTGAAGACCACAGCTCTTCCCATTGATTCACAGCCATGTCTGTAAAAGGCACCTTTTCTACCTGATCCAAGACCACACTGTGCCAGTGCTCAACGGAGGGGAAAAAAAAATGTTTAAATAGCTCTTAGAAGGATCACTTAGCGTCAATACGTTTTTGGCCGTGTTGGAGGAAAGACCCTCAGCTTTCCACCACCCTGCTCTCCTCCTGAGCCTCCCATCTCCCTACCCTCTCCTGCCAGAAAGCACAGGCTTCCATGAGGGGGGAGAGCAGAGACCCCCCCCAGAAACCCAAAGCAACCTTCCTCCTTGTCCTCTCATAGGTGGTCCTCACTGCTCCCCTTCCCCTTCATCACCTTGTTTGGGAAGAAGGAGAGGAGCTGAAAACCCCTCTTAGATGCTTTCTTCAGCTTGGAAGGGGGAGCAGCTGGCTGTGACACTGTGGTTGCCCTCTCCTCCCTTCGCCAGCCCTGGGGCGGAGGGTGCAGAGCCCCAGGAACCATGGGGATGAGCCAGGTGACATGGGGTTGAAGGGACGTGGGGGCAAAAACATTGCACAGAGTTGCTGGCTGTGTGGGAGCCACCACTGGGGCTGGGGAAGAGGAGGGGGGTGCACAGGTCGATGGGAGGGTGGATTGGGGAGGGTTTGTAGAGCAGAGCAGATTTTGGGACAAGTGTATTAGGTGACTGGGAAAACAGGCTCTGTTTGGGCTTTGTGTCAATTCCTTACCGGGCTCTTAAAATTAATTACCAGGTGGAAGAGTGAGCCAACATAGGGACAGCAACGTGCCAAGCCCTTCACACATGTGCACACATGCATTTTTCCAGGCCACTTTAGGAAGAGCCTGGCAGTACCTTGGTCTTGAGAGAGCACCAAACCCCTCTCATCTCTTATTTTTCATTTACAAGTGACCCTCAATAGATGTGGTGGGCTTAACAGGCAAAGGCAAGAGCTTTTGTTGCAATTTCATCCAATACACTGCTCAAGATGATAGGCAAATATAAATGTAAGGTGGAGAGGGATAATCTGGGAAGGAAGTGACAAAAGACACCCTCACAAGATGAAAAACAGGTTGTCATCAACTACTCAAAACACAACTGGCTCTCACTAGACATCGGCAGCTGCAGAAGGGACAAAATCCAGCAAGGTAAAAAACTGCGAAGGGTGAAGGGATGTAGGATGACAGGAATGGTGGGGTGGGATAGGTGGCACTGGAAGCTATCAGTAAATACTTGGACCTTTCTGATGGGCAGCAGGTATAAAGAGGTTGTTTCAGGATGTATTTCATCTTCTTACCATGATCAATATCGGGCCCAACATGCAAGCAGGGAAACCTTGAAGCTCTGGCTACCCTGCTAGGCAGAGCTAAAGGGATGGTGAAAGCTAGAGAGAGAGAGAATTGGGACAAGGCAGATGGTAGCATATAAAATGAGATCATCTGTGTCTTAGAAGTGCCTTATTTTCTCCTTTGCTTATAAAGGTGCCACTTCAGTTATAGACATCTCTCCATGAAGACGTCAAATAGGTGACATTGATTTGTCCCCAGTCTCTCGCACACTCCCAGGCACAGAGGTAGATGTGGCCCTGGTCTTGCAACAAAGACCCATCAAAAGCTTCTGCCTTGCTTTTGGCATAGATAGAGACTCCTGGCTGCTGCTGTGTCCCTGCCACATCCCTGCCATCGCTGGACAGATGGTTTGGTTGCTTGTGCATTCACTCCCAATCCCCTTTCAGGTGAAGTGTGTCAGGCTTTAATAGGAAAGGCCTATTTATGATATTTTTAAGCTAATGCAGCTAATTTTGGCTGAATTATGTTAGGGAACAATCTCATGGGCAGTTCATCCATCTGGCGTATGCACCAGGCAGAGAAAGTGGGGAGCAAGTGTAATGAGGAGCGTGGTCACTCAAGGTCCAGTTCAATAAGGGACCTGAAATACTTGGACAGGTTTTAAAGACAGCGGCATCTCTGTTATGTTTAGTGTGGAAGGCCACCCCACAAGCTCATGCCAGCAACAGTGCAAGGAGGATTTCCAGCCCCAGCTGCTCACGAGGCTAGGGGGAAGTCCCTGCTCCAGGATGGTGGGTGTTCTCTGGCACGTCTTCAGCACGGCCAAAATGCACTGCTGCTGCTCACGTACAGATGCAACACTTCAGTCAGCCAAGGCAGTTTTGAAATTGTGGACAGCCTCTGTAGGCTGGGATCCTCCCAGGATGAATGGGGACCGACCGGTTGTTTCCAGCATTGCCGCTCCGGGTTTGGGTGACAAATTCTGCCAAAGGCCGGTTTTAGACATCTGTGTCTCCTCTGCATCTGTCACTTGATGGATACATAATGATGCCATGTGAGGGAGCCCAACCTTTGCGTTCTGCTCCTATTCTCCAGCAATGGCCCAATTTTCATTTTCTGTGTGTTTGCCAAGCAGTTGAGAATATGTTTCTGCAGTAGCTTGCAAAATTCAGGGGTTTTCAACAAGCAAATCTTAATCTGTACTGAGCTAAGATTAGATAAGATTAGATCTGTGCTGTTTTGCCACTCAACGAATATAAATAAAGACCCACATTCTTGAGCTTTAGCCCATATGCAGCTAACAGTAGGAAAAAAAAGGGAGCTCTTGATGAGTGAACTTCAGAAACATTTTAGTACAAAATAAGCCAGTCTCTAAGTAAAACAGCCAAAAGCACCGGGATTTAAAAGAAGGGGTTGGACAGTAATTAGCTTTATCATTTATGATCTGGCATTTCTTTATATAATTTTTCACTGTATCTCATAGACTGGAGTACGTTTTCAGTGGCCTCTAAACTTGCACGCTTCAATGGTGGAGCTTTTGAGGGTGAAGAAATAATGATGAACAATGCAGGCTATCAGAGAGGTGGCTTTCAGCAGATGAGCCCCAGCTCATCAACATGATTATAGATCCAGTTTAGTTTACATCTACTGTAATGTAAATTCATGGAGATCAGTGGAGTTCAGTTAGTGGAAGTGAAGGGAGAAATGAACCCTTTAAGTATCCTGCATCTAGATAGTCCTTTTATCTGACAGAGGCATAATAATATCATGGCACATTCTCACTTTTTATGTGTTTGTTGAGCAGATGATAATACGTTCCCATAGCAGCCTGCAAAATTTAGGTATGAACCCTTGATTCAGCTTCAGCTGCGACTGAAGTTGTTTCGACATGGGCATATAATGATTTAATAAGCAGATCAGTACACCTCAGCTTGTTGAATTAACTTGTGGTTGGCTTTAGAG